AGTAGCCTCTGAGGCACTGCAGGCAGTTAAGAGCTCAGATTCTAGATGGCAGTGAATCTAAGACTATGTCTCCTCTGCTACACAGGAACTGTATGACTTGAGGAGCTGCTTACTATTCAGTATACAAGGAGCTTGAGCTTCCTCATCTGTAACTTGGGGATGGTGAAAATATCCTAGACGTAGACTACTGTGCCGGTGAAAGGCAATACCTATGTAGTGCCTGACTCAAAAAAGATATGTCACCTAACACTACTAAAAAATCACTGTGGGATTGCCACCAACTTCAATGGATTTTTTTGCATTCCTTGTGGAGGCCTTCACACCCTCTTCCATCTTTGACGGAAATAGAAACTCTGGTTACCACCAGGCAATTGGGTGAAGGGCACACATCTATGACAAGTGTCCCATGAGGCCAGTACCACTCAGGGGGACTCAGAGTGAGGGCTGGGGCTCTGCCCACTGTTTGCCTTATCGTCAGGCTGGGAGGATCACAGTGTATCCCACCAGCTCTTCTGCCGGAGAGAAGGGAGTGCGGGAAGATGCCCAGGTTCAGTGCTCAGGGACCACAGGTGGAGGCAGGGATAGTACCAGGGTCAGCCACATGCAAGGCAAGTGTCTTAACCTTACCTTCACTTTCTTCCCCACTAGGGGCCTTTGTTTGCATGGAGGCAGCTATGCTGGCTGTGCTCAGGGATGACTCTTGGTAGTGCTGGGGCACAGGGGACCAGATGGGGTTCCGGAGATTGAGCCCAGGTCCACTGCACACAAGGCACAGCCTTACCCTGTACTATGTGTCCAGTCGGAAGCTTTGCCTTATTATTTCTGAACGCTGGTACATTGTCATCACCCTACCCTCTCTAGTCGTTCTCTTTCAGGGGACTTTCACTGCGATACTTAGGAATTAAGTTGCATTGCAAACAAGTTAGTAATAGTAGAGGTTTGTTCATTGAAGTTAAAATTGTGATGCACCACACTTACATATTCGAGGCGGCTGTACATGCGATTGATAGGAATTAGTACATACTGCTTGAATTTTTTTTGTTTTGTTTTTGATTTGGGGGTCACACCTGGAGGTGCTCAGGGCTCAGGACTGGCTGGGCACTCAGGAATCACTCCTAATGGGCTTGGGGGACCATATAGGATGCCAAAGACAGAGCCCAGGTCAGGCAGAGTGCAAGGCAAATGCCTTCCCCACTGCACTATGTCTTCAGTCCCTCTGCTGAATTTTCTTAAGTAACAGTTCTTACTGATATACTCATAATACAGATATAAATTCACTGTTGAACCACTTTAAGACATTCCCCTCCCGACCTGCTTGGTTTCCACATTTCAAAGTCTGCACGGTGGAACTTTAACTCACAGGCGGGAGGCCCTGGCTGTCCCAACTGCTTTCCGAAAAATGAAATGAACACGGTTCCGTGCGCATAGACAGGAGTGATCCCTGAGCACAGGGCCAGGAGGAAGTCCAAAAGCAAAAAGCAAACAAAGAGAATCAAATTTGCGGTCACTGTTCTCCATTAGGAGGAAGTTCGGCCAATTTCTAAAGAAACGAGTCAAGTTACGCAACTCTGCATCCCCCCACCTTGGAATTCCGTCCCGCTTAGGACAGGGAACGGGTCCAGCCCTTGAGCAAACGCCACCGGCACACAGTGTTCAAGGAGCCGGGTTTTTAAAGCACTTCCCGGGATGAAGCCCGGGCAGGGGGATTGCTTCTGCTCTGGGGTTCTCCCGCCCCGCGGGGACCAGGCAGGGGTCACCGCGGCGACTGCAGACAGAGGAAGGCAAGGGCTGGGCCACAGGCCCGGGCAGGGGCGCGCCCCGCAGGACCCCAAACCTCCGGTCCGGACCCCACCAGCTCCACTCCACGTGCACAGTGCCCCCGCCCCCAAGCGATGACGCCCCTGATGAGCCCCACTACCCTTCTCGACAGTTCCCTACCCCGACCCGAGCTCACACCTCAACTCCCACCAGCTCAGGACGCCCCCGAGTCCCAATCACCCGCGTCCCAGGATGTGCCCCAGCACGTGACGTTGGCCCCACGCACCCTCCCACCCCGACCCTCCCGCCCAGCCGCTCTCAGGCCCCGCCCCCGATCACTCCCCGCCTATCACGCTCACAGCCGCTTCTCACGCCCCGCCCCTGACCACGCTCCGCCTATCACGCTCACAGCCGCTTCTCACGTCCCGCCTTCTCGATCACGCCCCTCCTATCATATTACAGCCGCTCCTCGCTCTCATGCCACTCCCCTACACTGACGTCACGGCCCTGCGTTCACAGCAGCTGCTCGGCCCCGCCCTCGGCCACGCCCCGCCTCCTAGGCGCACAGCCGCTCCTAGGCCACGCCCCTCGCCCTCACGCCACGCCCTCCACACTCAGGTCCCGCCCCTGAGCCACTTTTGGCCCCGCCCCCAATTACGCCCCGCCCCTCACGCTGACGCCCCGGCGTTCGCGCTGACCCACCCTCCCCTCCTGTTTCGACCCGGCCGGCCTTACGCTGACGCCCCGCCCCTCACGCTGACGCTGACCCCGCGCACGCTGGCGCCCCGGCCGGTCCACCAGGTCCCCCCGCTGATGCCCCGCCCACGCGCTGGCTCCCCGCCGCTCCCGCTGATGCCCCGCCCCCGTGCGGAGGCCCCGCCCTCAGGCTGCCGCTGTCCCGAGCACGCTGGCGCCCCGCCTTCGCGCGGACATCCCGTCCCCGGGCGGAGGCTCCGCCCCCACTGGGAAGCCCCGTCCCCGCGCGGACGCCCCGCCCCCACTGGGAAGCTCCGTCCCCGCGCTGAGGCCCCGCCCTCACGCCGATGCCCCGCCCCCGCGAGGAAGCCCCGCCCTCACGCTGCCTCTGCCCCGCGCACGCTGGCGCCTCGCCGCCGTGCGGACACCCGGTCCCTGCACGGAAGCCGAGGTCCCTGCACGGAAGCCCCGCCCCCACACGGAAGCCCCGCCCCACGTGGAAGCCCCGCCCCGCGAGGATGCCCCGCCCCCACGCCGCCTCTGCCCGGCGCACGCTGGCGCCTCGCCGCCGTGCGGACACCCGGTCCCTGCACGGAAGCCCAGATCCCTGCACGGAAGCCCCGCCCCCACACGGAAGCCCCGCCCCACGTGGAAGCCCCGCCCCGCGCGGATGCCCCGCCCCCACGCTGCCTCTGCCCCGCGCACGCTGGCGCCTCGCCGCCGTGCGGACACCCGGTCCCTGCACGGAAGCCGAGGTCCCTGCACGGAAGCCCCGCCCCCACACGGAAGCCCCGCCCCACGTGGAAGCCCCGCCCCGCGCGGATGCCCCGCCCCCACGCTGCCTCTGCCCCGCGCACGCTGGCGCCTCGCCGCCGTGCGGACACCCGGTCCCTGCACGGAAGCCGAGGTCCCTGCGCGGAAGCCCCGCCTCCACACGGAAGCCCCGCCCACGTGAAGCCCCGCCCCGCGCGGATGCCCCGCCCCCACGCCGCCTCTGCCCCGCGCACGCTGGCGCCTCGCCGCCGTGCGGACACCAGGTCCCTGCACGGAAGCCCCGCCCCCGCGCGGACGCCCCGCCCCTCCGGCCGAAGCCCCGCCCCTCACGCCGCCGCCGCCCCGCGCACGCTGGCGCCCCGCCCGCCGGCCCGCCCGGCCCGCCCCCCGCGCTCTCGGCCGCCTGCGCCGCGGGCCGAGTGGTGGGCGCGGCGGCCGGCCGGGCTGGTCGCAGGCGCTGCCGCTCGGGCGAGGCGCCCCTCGTGCAGGCGGCGGCGGCGGCCGGCCGCGCCCCAGAGCGCCCGGCGAGGCAGCGGAGCGGCCGCGGGTGAGCGTGGGGCCGGGGCTCGCGCCGGGAGGGCGCGCGGCGGGCGGGGGCCGGGGCCGGGGGGCGGGGGGCGGCGCGCGGGCCGGGGGCGCGGGGCCGGGCCGGGGCCTGCTTCTGCTTCTGCTTCCGCCCGGCCGGCCCTGCCCGCCGCCTCGCGCCCGCCCGCCCGCGCCGCCGCCGCCGCCGCCTTTGTTGCCCGCCGCGCGCGGGAGGCGCCGGGGCCCGCGCGGCCTGCGCGCCCGCCCGGCACCGGCACCCGCGGCAAGTTGGCGGCGGGCGCGGCGCCCTCGGGGCCAACTTCTCCGGAGTTGGGGGCCCGGCTCCCAGCAGCCCGCCCCGCCGCCGCCCGCGCCCGCGCCGCGCCCCCCGGGGGTCCCGGCAGCCCCGCGCGCCCGGCCGAGGCCGCGCGGACGCACCACGGCGCTGCCGCTTCCGTCTGGGCGCGCTCGGCCCGGCCACCCCGCACCCGCACCCGCACCCGCACCCGCACCCGCACCCCTCCTGGTCCTCCTCGCCGCCTCCAGCCCGGACCCGCACCTTCCGACCCGCGACCCTCCTGATCCCCGCACTCGCACCCGCACCCCTCCCGGTCCCGGCACCCTCCAGCCGCGGGACCCCGGGCCTCGGGGGGCCACTCGCCCGCCTGGTCTGGGGGGGCCCTGGCGTGTCTCTCGCCCCCGCTGCTGGCCTTTGGGGGCGCCTCCCCGACGCTGCTCCCGGGGGCCACTCCTGCTTGGGGCCACTCCTGCTTGCCGGCCGGGGCGCCCAGGTGGGTGCCCACCGCGCACCTGCCAGGCCAGGTCTAGCTCTGCCTCTGCCCCCCTCCCCCGTCTCTCCTCTTCCTCTCCCTCTTTTCTCTCTCCCCCCACCCCTCCTTAGACTTAGCCCCAAGTCTCCCTAACTTCACTCCCTGGGGGTGGGCTTCCCGGGACCTTCCCTGTAGCTCCTACTGCATCTTAGTCGTGCTGTCTTGGAGGGGCTCGCGTCTGCAGGTGCCCAGGGGTCGCTGGCCTGCTTCTTGGACCCGCCACCCCGTGATGCGTGCTGCGCGCGGGCGGGCGGGCGGGCGGGCAGGTAGAAGACTCAGTAAGCAGCGTCCCTTGTCCCTTGGGCTCTGTCCTGAGTGTTGTCTCTTCCCCAGGGCGGAGGAAGTTTCGGGACTCTTCGCATCTTCCTAACTTTCCCCCCTTCCGAAGCGGCCTCTGGAGCGTCTGCCAGTCCTGCCAGTCTCTTCCCCCGGCTCAAGGGAAGTTGGTGACGCTGGTGTGTGTCTTGCATAGGTGGACGCAGAGGAAGAACGCGCTGTCTGTCCGGGTGGCCACGGGGACGGCAGGTGGGTTTGTTCTGCAGGTGGACGCCGCTGGCATCGGCGTGTCTGTGCCCTCCGGCTTTGGGACGGAGGCACACTGCCCCGTTGAAACTCCCTTCAGAAGGTGACTGCCACGGTGTCACCCGCTGGGGGTGATTTTTAGCCACTGTGCTTGGAGGTGCCGGTTCTCTTGCGGACCATGGGGTCCCGTGGAGGCAGGCGGTTGAGCTTTAGGGAGGAGGGTCTGCGCCTAGCTGTGTGAGCCAGAGTGAGCGCTGCATCCCTTGGGTTCTTCCCCTTCTTCCCCTGGGAAGGAGAAGAACCCTCCGACGATGGGGACCACCCTAAGGACAGCAGCCCCGAAGACAACCTCTTGTCACGGCAGGGGCATCTCTGGACTCGGCAGAGAGGGACAGTCGTGTCTGATGGGGCCCCCGTGCGGCCAGCTCGCCCTCTGCTCCGGCCCTCCCCTGCGTGGGGTTTCTCCTGGGCACCCCCGGGGCCTCCCACCCCAGAGACCTGCGTGTGAAGGGAACCGAACCGCTCCGCCGGCCCTGGCTGAGTGTGTGGGACGTGCGGGGGGAGCACCTTGACTGCTGTTGGGGTCACTGAGGCCGGGCAGCCTGGACTGGCCCCCGGTGGAGTAGGTGAGGGCCAGGGTTGGATGTTCGGTAAGGCGCGTGTGGTCAGGCCCATGGCAGGAGCCTTGGCTCGTACCCGGCAGGCTGTGGTGAAGCGGATTTCCTTCTGGTTCGTTCCCATCCGCGAAATGAAGTGAGGACGGGCTGCTGAACGGTGGTGGGGGCACACTGGCCGTGCTCAGGGGTCCCTGCAGGGAGCTCCTGGGACCAGGAGGCATCCTGGGTGCCCTTGGCCCCCCACGGGGAGCTCCCTCTGGCCCCAGACCCAGACCCTCTTGGCCTGCAAGGTTGCCACTGGCCTCGGCACTGCTTCTTGAGCGACCGTCTCTCCGCCTTAGCCTGAAGTCGTGCTCCCGCCGTTCCTCTCCTCGCCTTTCCAGCCGCTTCTGCCGTCCCCGGCCTTGGGAATATGGTTCTGTCTGCCCGACTCCTCTTCAGGCTGTGACTCCTTCCCAGATCCTAGCATCGTCGGGGGTCCTCGCCTGACCGACGCCTCCCCTCTCCGCCCTGACCCGCCGCGTCCCCGTTCTCGGCGCTCGGTGCTCTCTGCCTTCATCTCTCTTGCCCCCTGTACCGGTCGGCTCTGCGTTTTCCCGGACCGGCTCTCCCCGAGAGGAGGTGTGCTCTGTGCTCCCGCTCTGTTCCCCCGAGCAGCCTGGGTCTGGCGTGTGTGTTGGAGGTTTTTGTCCTCGGAGCGCCCCTTTCTGACAAAGAGACGCTGTGTAGGTCTGGGAACTCCGCCGAGCGGAAGACGAACGACTTCATGGCCCGGGGGAGACGCGGGCTCGGTACCTGCCTCGCCCAGGTGGCCCCACAGAGGGGCAGCCGTCCCGCCTGGAGGGCCGCAGCCTTGGTGGGCTCCGTCACCCTCCCCAGGGGCGGGTCAGGAAGTGGCGGGCATTCCGCGGTGTGGAAGGCCCTGCGCCAGCGCCGTCCCCTGGGACCCTCGCTCCGTCGCCTGGTAAGGTAAAACCCCAGTCCCCGGGACCTCTGGCCACCTGCTCTCTGCCGGACAATTGGCAGGAAGGAAGACCCGACGGGGCGGGAGCCGAGCCAGAGGCCCCGCTGGCTTGGGTATTGGCAGGTGAGGGCAGAGCTGAGCTGACAGGGTCGCTGTGGGACTCAGCGGGTGCCCGTCTGGCCTCCTGGAGGCCGACTGCCTCCAACTTCTCGGGCTTGGGCTCCGGCATGCCACAGTGATCGTTGGTTTTCCTGGTTCGGGAAGCCGTGGGGGAAGGGTGTGGAAGCCAGGCCACGCGGGGAGGGGACGCTGTCCTTGAGGAGGGAGCCGTGTCCAGCAGGGATCCTTCCCCCACCCCCGGCCCTTCTGCAAAGCCTCTGTTCTGCTTTCTTACTGCCGTGATGCCGTTGGATCGCTCTGTGCTGGGACCGCACTCACGTGTTTCCTTAAAACACACCACAGGACAATCCTGCGTGGAGACGTTGCTCTGGGGGTGGCGGTTGGTGGCCCTGGAGGCCGACGCCCGGGCGGTCGGGAGGAAGGAAGGAGGAGCACAGGCCCCGGCCGGCACTGTGCAGGTAAACTCGGCCCCTGTACCGGCTCTGGGGGTGCCTTGTTGCTGCACTTCCTGTGTGCACGTGTGGTCAGAGCATCTCTCTGAAGAAGACGCAGTGCCTGGCTCCTCTCAGATACGCTCCCATCAGGACCGATGTTTCCAGTCTGATGGTGTCGAGGACGGCTGAGTTGACCAGGTGCTCTCAGTCCTAGCCCGTCACTCGGTGCTGTGCTGTTTCTGCTTGTGCTGGTACTCATTCTGTGACGGGCGTTCTGGCCACGCTGAGAACACACCGGGTGGTGAAGCGGGGTTCACATGCCGTCTCAGTGAGGAGGCAGTGTCCCAGGTTGCTTTAGGTGATTTTCCTTTGATGACTTTGAGTATTTATAATCATGAAGGAGTTTTGAATTGTCGCGGAATTTCGGTGTGGAAGGAAATGCCCCTTTGATAGCAGTCATTTTGGACTGTATACGTTGCTTCTGAAATAACACTGAAGCCGTGGGATGGTCCATTTAGGGTGTGTACCTGGCAGGTAGCCTCCCCCCCCCCACCCCGGCTCTATTTCCAGCCTTCCCGAGGGCAGCTCTAGAGACCCCCTGAGCACTGCTGGGGCGGCCCAGTGTCGGGGGGAGGGGACACGGGGAGGGCGTCCTTCAAGGTGAAGTTAAAAACCCTCAAGATTAGCGTGTTGCCAACTCACAGGCCGGTGGACGTTAGCCTGCCAGACAGAGCTCTGGGGGTCTGTCCGTGTTCTGGAAACTGCTTAGAATTCGGAGGTTTGTGTATCATGGACCCGCGTCAGCCTCACACAGCTGACAGGAGATGGGGATTGGAGCCGTGTTTGTCCGCCCCAGGGCACCCCTGGGGTGCGGAGTGGGGTCCAGCAGGGGCAGCTCTCCTGCCGTCCACGGGGTGTGGCTATTTGCACCTGGCGTACAGGGGACCCGGGTGTGTCCTCCAAGGTGTGCCCTGGCTTCGCTGGCTCTTGGGGAGTTTCCGGTCTCGGGTGGAGCTGGGGACCGAGGGACGGAGTGTCAGGCCAGGCAGCTGCGCTAGGCCGGGGGTCAGAGTCCACCCAGACACTCCTGTTGTCATCGGACATGCAGGATGTCGCGAGTCGCAGACAAGCGCCTGGGCGAGCCCGGGGTGGCCCTTTGCGCCTCTCAGCCCGACCCGGGAGCTTCCCAGGATGGCGAGTGAGGCACCCTGGGGTGCGGAAATGGGGACGTGTCGGGGTGAGTGACCGAGTTCCTGGGCGTGCGGGCTGGGGCTCCTCGCGGCCCCCTGGGAGCTGGTGTGCTGTCCCCCCTGCTGACCCGGAGGCCTGGGCGTGGCTATAGGCACTTCTGCTCCCTCAGTCACCGGTCACCGTGTGGCTCCTCATTTTCACGGCCTTGGCCTGTTCCCTGAATTCTCCCCCGTGGGCTGGCACCCACCCTCCTCCCAGGAGCCTCCCGGCACCAGACCGGCGCGCTTCCACCGTGAGAAGCCGTGGAACGGCTTCCTTAGTGATTCCCCCCCCCTTCGTTTTCTCTCTTTGCCTGACCAGACTCCTTTTTTTGAGTGCCGAGCTTCCTGGGTTGATACTTGAATTCCCGTAGCCTTTCTGGGGTCCGCTTCTGGTGGTGCCAGGACTCGCAGTATTGTCAGACTGCCCCGGGGAGCTCGTCCCAGCACCCACCGGCCACCGGAGAACCCCTGACCCCCTGACCCCCACCTCAGTGCCCCACGGACATTCCCAGCCCCCACTGATAAGCTCAGTTCTCTGAACAGAATCTCCAGTTCTGCTGACTCCGACCATTTGTTGTTCCCTTTCTTTTTTTTTTTTTTATTATTTCATATTTGGGACATCTTCCTCTTTTTAAAAACGTTCTCTTTAACTGTGGAGGTGGCGACGTTTACACACGGAGGTGCAGAGAGCTAATCTCCTGGGACGCCCCAAAATTCTGAGATCAGTGAGAAATTTAAAGTAAGATTATTTTTTCCCCAAACACCATCTTTCTTAGGTGTATAAATTCTTCAATATCATGAATAATTCTGTGCTAATCCACTTTAAGACTTGTATGGAATAAATCACTTGATGACTTCCCGTTGCTCATCGAGTTGCTCGAGTGGGCACCAGTAACGTCTCTCTTCATCCCTGTCGCGTGCCAGTGTAGCCCAGTGGCGTCTGCTCGTTCTAGGAACATGAAGAGCCTCAGACCTGTCCTTCAGGGTCTTGACGAAGAAGTCTGACCATTTTGTCGGTGGGCGGCGCGGCCACGCGGTCTTCTGGCGTCCCGTGGAATAAATAAATTCTGTAAAGGCGATCTTTAGGAAGGATGAAGAGAGTTAAGAGAAGTATGAGGGGAGGATTTGAATTAGGCCTATTGAAGTAAGAATGTGGGTTTTCTCCTAAGAGAGGGACTGGGCTTGATGTGAGGGAGTATCGTAGGGGCTGCGTAAGTGCCTGCATTAATACGGAAACGGTCGTAATGGAAGTCTCCGTGGATGGAAAGCAAAACAAAACAGAAACTCGGACGAGGTAGGCGGCATTCGGGGTGCGGGAAGGTTCGCTCGTCCTTGCCGGTGCACTCAAGTCCCCTAGCTGGGCAGGCGCGGACCGACCGTTTCTTAACCTAGCCGAGGGCACCCGTCGGAAGTGATGCCACCCTCGGCGCCAAGTGCCGAGAAGCTGGTCTTGCCTCGTAAAGAAGCTCCTGGAATGCCGCTCGCGCGACGGGTTTCGTGGCTGTAAATTCCCTGATGCTCCCTGAAGCTCTGTCCCTCCCGGGTACTTGTTCTCGGGGCAGCGGGAGTCAGAGATTTGGTTGTTCTTTTGCTTCAGGTGGGTCTGAGGGGTTGGAGAGAGGGGAGAAGGATTTCT